CAGGTGTGCCTTGGCTAATTTCATGCATACTGGTTTCTCAGATGTGCCTTGGCTAATTTCATGCATACTGGTTTCTCAGATGTGCCTTGACTGATTTCATGCATACTGGTTTCTCAGGTGTGCCTTGGCTGATTTCATGGATACTGGTTTCCCATGTGAGCCTTGGTTGATTTAATGCGTACTGGTTTCCCAGGTGAGCCTTGGCTGATTTCATGCATACTGGTTTCTCAGGTGTGCCTTGGCTGATTTCATGCATACTGGTTTCTCAGGTGTGCCTTGGCTGATTTCATGGATACTGGTTTCCCAGGTGAGCCTTGGCTGATTTAATGCATACTGGTTTCTCAGGTGAGCCATGGCTGCTTTCATGCATACTGGTTTCTCAGGTGAGCCTTGGCTGATTTCATGCATACTGGTTTCTCAGGTGTGCCTTGGCTGATTTCATGCATACTGGTTTCCCAGGAGAGCCTTGGCTGATTTCATGCATACTGGTTTCTCAGGTGAGCCAGGCTGATTCCATGCATACTGGTTTCTCAGGTGAGCCATGGCTGATTTCATGCATACTGGTTTCTCAGGTGAGCCTTGGCTGATTTCATGCATACTGGTTTCTCAGGAGAGCCTTGGCTGATTTCATGCATACTGGTTTCTCATGTGAGCCATGGCTGATTTCACGCATACCGGTGACTCATGTGTGCCGTGGCTGATTCCATGCATACTGGTTTCCCAGGTGAGCCTTGGCTGATTTCATGCTTACTGGTTTCCCAGGAGAGCCTTGGCTGATTTCATGCTTACTGGTTTCTCAGGTGTCCCTTGGCTGATTTCATGCATACTTGTTTCCCAGGTGAGCCTTGGCTGATATCATGCATACTGGTTTCCCATGTGAGCCTTGGCTGATTCCATGCATACTGGTTTCTCAGGTGAGCCATGGCTGATTTCATGCATACTGGTTTCTCAGGTGAGCCTCGGCTGATTTCATGCATACTGGTTTCTCAGGTGAGCCTTGGCTGATTTCATGCATACTGGTTTCTCAGGAGAGCCTTGGCTGATTTCATGCATACTGGTTTCTCAGGTGAGCCATGGCTGATTTCATGCATGCTGGTTTCTCATATGAGCCTTGGCTGATTTCATGCATCCTTGACTGATTTCATATTTTCGTGGTGATTTTTTTTCATTTTTTTTTTCTTTTATTAAACGGTGACTTATACCTATAGGCAGCCATATGACCTTGTTTTTTTATTAAATCCTGTTTTGATTTCAAGAAAAAACGGCTTTTTTAAAAATTAAAAATAATTTACAAGTAACGGAAATCTCTGGAGTGTGCACTTATGCTAAGCCCCTTCTGAGTCGAAACAATAACATTTGTAATTAGCACAATCCCGCAAATAAACATCCTGTGTACGTGTCCGGTCAAATATACTCACTCTTTGCTGATAGTTCATCGCATCGCTTTTCTCTACTATATATTACCACAGCCCCTCCATATAGAGGAACTGTGATATTACTGCTCATTTATTTTGTATTTACCAAGTTTATTTTGAAAAATGGCATGAAAAAAAATTGGAAAAAAGGCGTTCCAATGACAAGCGAAACCTACAAGTTTCTGAATAGCAGAAAGCATATTTTTTACTACGAAACACAGTCCCTCTGCAAAACAAAGTTGGACGAGTCAACAACAGACAAGTCAAATGAAAACCCAAGTGACATTTGCTCCACCACACCAGAGACTAATGACACCACCGTAACCACCCTGAATGATGACGATGATGACACCACCGTAACCACCCTGAATGATGACGATGATGACACCACTACACTGTCACTGGAGGCTGACGACACGACATCAACACACAGAATTAGCATGTCGAAACGAAAAATAACGCCAGCGAAGTCTACAGTATCTGGCAACGCTTGTGGTGAAGCGAATAACACAAGGCTTGTCAACCTGGATATATTGAATGCAAATCTGGCTGACCACTGTAAATGTTCTCGGTGTAAAAAGGGAAAAATATATATCCATGAAGAATCTCATTATGGCTGAGGATCTCACTTTAGTCTCCAGTGCATATGCGGTCTTCCGAACATAACACATGCACGCGAATTGGCTAAGAATACGACAATAGACAAATCAGATCCATTGTGTCATGTGGGACGGCAGACTGACTTTCAAATGAATTTTTTTGAGTGACGCATCAGCGGTTCGTAGACAAAACAGTTACCAGTACATTCATTGCTCTTGGGAATGAAAACTGTTTTGTGCTGGTAATAATTGTATGACAATCGTACTGCAAGTCGACAAAAATAAACTAAACAATACTCTGATTGTAACAAGTTATATAGAGCAAAAACGACGACCTGTAATTCACGACAGTACTGTCGGCAAGCTTGACTGACTTGCTCCCAAGTGGATTCAGTCAGCAAATAGCAGGACGAAGTCCGAAAACGGGGACTTATAATTCGGTCTCCGTCCGTCCATGCGTTCGTCCGGAGTCATATCTCAGAATCCCTTGGACCGATTCTGTTTATTCTTTGCATGTGCCTAGTACTTTATGTGGGACATATGCACATACAGTGGTTTAGCGATTCGATTCAAAATGGCCGACTGGCAGCCATCTTGTTTTTTGAAAATGTTGTATTTTGGACATGCTTTGTCAGTTTTCATTCAAACTTGGTACATAGATTTTACATGTTAGGTTACATGTTCATGACGATTTATTTCGCAATTGGATCAAAGATGGTCGACTGGCAGGCATCTTGTTTTTGTTTTTTTATGCGGTATCTTGGACGTGCTCTGTCAGTTTTCATTCAAATTTGGCACATACATGTACTTTATACATGTTAGGATGCATGTCCATGACAATTTGTTTCAAAATCTGGTCAAGGATGGCCGATTGACAGCCATCTGACTTTTTGGCCTTACTACTATATTTCCACAATTTATGTACCATTTTCATTCGTATTTGGCACATACATCATACATGTTAGGATACATGTCCATGACAATTTGTTTCAAAAAGGATGGCCGATTGACAGCCATCTGACTTTTTGGCCTTACTACTATATTTCCACAATTTATGTACCATTTTCATTCGTATTTGGCACATACATCATACATGTCAGTTTGTTTCATAATCAGGTCAAAGATGGCCGAATAACGGCTGTTTTTATTTTTGACTATTTTACTACTACACGGAACACGTGTTTTGATGTAAATAAACAATCTGTTGTATACGCCACTTGGAACTCAAGTTTCAAGGACACGCTCGCGACAACCCCTCCGCTTTAATATGACGAGCACAAAGAGAACTTAACGGGGACTGTGTCATTTTCAATGACTTGTTTTACTTCAATTACAATTTTCAATTAATATTCAACAACAAAAGTTTCATCGCCGGTATTCAGTAAAAATAAAAAAAGGATAGCTTAACCGAGTACTCGCATTTAATTATGTAGTTCTGCTTTGATGAAATTTTCGCTTGGTTCAGGTGCCGTGGCTTACGAGCAAGTTGCTGGTACATTAACATGGGAGTGCAGACAAGACAGCGTTCACTCTGCCAAGTTTAATGGTCACATAGCATGTTTTGTACATAAACACTTGTTTGTTGTGATATGGTATGACACTCAAAATAGTTTAATAAGCTTGTCAAGTAAATAAGCTTAAAATGATAACGTGATTACACTGTTTATTCAATGGTGGCCATACTTCGTTTTCACGTTGCTTTTTTTCAAATTATCGATTTTTTCATAACTTCATCGACCATGTACCAGACGGGTTGTTTTGAATTTTATAAAACCAACACAATAGCTATCTTAAACATCAAAAAATCACTGAATACGATGCGTTTACCGAAATATCCTCTCGACTGTGCTACTTTCAGCCATTTGAAAAGTAATGTGTCTAAAACCACAAAAATCACGATTACGCGAACAGTTCTTGTCTGATTTCATTGATTTTTGGCTCATCCGGCCTATGCCATGGCGAGGCGTCTGTCGTCCAGAAATTACAAAATCCATGAATAAGGATGCCATTGACTGATTATAGGTTAGCTATTTGTGATATATCTGTATGTTTTTAAGAGAATAAAGTTCATTTAGGCAGTCAATGGGTGCATTCTTTCTTTCTTGATACATTGATTTAAAACCTCCCCCACACGTTTTCTAATGGATTACCCAGAATGCTTAGCGCAATCAGCAGCGCTCTACTTGTGCACATGCGCAGTTAATATTTCTTCCACAATGCATTCGTTATCACGAAATTTAAAATGGTGGATCGTTGCGGTCGCACATGTGGATCTTCTTGCTATCCCAAGAGCAACGCAACTAATCAACGGAGGAACAAAG